AATTAAATTAAATTAAATCTTCAAAAAAATGAAATTCCCCAAGAAAAGGAAATAAAACATCAATAAAGAAATCAATAAGGAACAAAAGAATGCCCCAATAGAAAGATGAACATGATCTGAATAATCAATTTGCAAAAGAAGAAAACTTATTACTGCTCAAACTAACAATAAAGTGAATATCAATTAAATGTATCCTTCTTTACCTGTCAAACTCATAGATGAGAAGATCCTCAAAAGGCGGAAGTGTCCTGGGTAGAAAGAAAGAAACCTTCATACACTGTTGCTGGAAGTGTAAACATACATATTCTTTCTGGAGGCCAGTTCAGCCCTTAACCATTTCTAACAAAATGAACAGTAAAGTTAAATACTTTCTTTACCTTCAACCAACCTATCTAACTGCAAGAATCAAACAGATTTGATTCTTTATACAAGAATTGATTCTTTATAGAAGAACTTTGTATAAAGTTCTTTATACAAAGACATTATAAGAAATGTACATTATATAGAAAGAGCAATAGGTAGAGATAGAGATAGAGATAAAAAGACTAGTTAAGTTTTCTACACATATTCCTGGTGATGGTTAAACCTTTCAAATGACTGGATTAAGAGAAAGTAAAGTGCATATCTGGGTACAGCCATGGGCACATGACCTTAGGAACTACAGTATGTTGATCTCGGGCCTCTTCCTCTCTAATTCTATTCTGCTGCTTTGCTTCTTGCCCAGCATGAAGTGAGTCACTGTGTTCCATCACACTATTCTGCCATGACATTTCTGCTTTGGAGCCAACTGTTATGACTTGTCTAGCTGCTCCCCCCACCACAAAAAACCTCTCATGCATAAGTGGGGCTTTTCACAGGTGGCTTTTTTGAAAGTGGCTAAGTCCAGGATGTGTCATGCTAGGATTAAGGGCATGTGATTACTAAATTAGTCCACTGGTTGTTTGACATAGATTGGGTGTGGATAATGGAAGGTTTCCCTGGGTGTGAGTGCTGCCCACTCTAAGGGTATGTATCCTAGATAAAGTATAATGGACAGAAAAAGGGCTGCTGCCACCAGTTGCTGCTGCTCTACTCCTGCTGCCTGCTTCACCTGCTTGTTGCTTTGCTGCTTTCTGCCTGCCCTGCCACATCATGGACTGTTTCTCTTCAGCAGTGCACTGCTTTCATACCACCCCTGCCTTGGAGTCAGCTAGCTATAAGCTGAAAACTGTGAACCAAACACACCTGTCCTCCTTTAACTCTGGGTGTCAGATATTTTGTCTCAGCAACAAGAAAAATGTCTGACACCAACCAAAAATGGACTTAACTCTCTGAAACTGTGATCCAAAATAAAGGTTTCCTCCTTTAAGTTGTACATGTCCATTATTTTGGCCACAGCATTGAAAAGCTGACCAATACATCAGTAAAACATAATGCAGATATTTTTATTATTTATCCTTATACTTCTGAAGGTGGAAAGTTGTCTGCTCTCAATCATAACAATAAAGATAATACTTCTTACCTATCATGATAGTGGAGTACATGAAGGCATCCTTCTTGACCAAGTACCACACCAAATCTGGACTCAAGCATATGGAAATAGAGGAAGCATGACATCAGGTGAGGTCTTTTCATTGAATTTAACAATTTTAGACTGACATTACTTAAGTTCCTTTGTGATATAGGCTCTGCCTTTGAGAAGCTTATTATAAAAGCTCAGATTTATAACATTGTAAAGTGACCACCAATAATTTAAAATAAAACTACAGTCAAGAGGCTGCAAAACCAGTACCAAACTGAATGGAAAATGCTCTGTCCTAAAGAGTTAGAAGGCAACCAACTTTATTATGCCAAAGGGCTGATGGGGGATCTCTTCCAAAGCATCAGTCCAAAGCCTTTCTTGGGCTTAGTTTACTTACATTTGCAAGTAAAAGATACAAAAGCTTAAAAGTATGGTGATTTTTATTGGGCAGGATCAGTTTTTCTTTGTCGCTAAGCAGAAAGTCCTCAAAACAAGTTATCAAGCAGGGTGTGTCTGGGGGCTGGAAAGTATAGGCTGTGCAGCTGGGTGTGGTCAGGCTGAGCTGGGTCAGGTTATCTGTGGGGTAGTCAATGGAGACTGAGTGAGTCTAGTAGACATGCTACACGGTGGCGGCATGCTCTCATTTTGCCCCACTATGTTGTCTGACTATGAGTTTGTTTCTGAATTTTTTTTAAAATTTCTATTACAAAGGCAGTAAAGGACTAGCACAAAGATGACCCTACTGAATAGAAAAGGAAATCCAGAAATAGACCCACCCTGTTTATAGTGACAAATATGCCAAAGTAACCCTAGGAAAAAGACAATCTTGAGAACACATGAGGGAAAAAATGAGGAAAAGAAGTAAGGAAAAAGAGGTAACTGGTTTATCCATATGAAAAAGAAAATTCTCACCTCACACCATATACAAAAACAAATTCAAGATGAAACATATCTAGTAAACATTAAAATCATACTTCTAGCTCAAAAGAAAGCACAGACTAAATTTAGCACAGAATAGGGTATGGTCAAAAGTCTTATAGGACACAGAATATAATAAACATAAAGCAAAAAAGTGGGTAAATTAAAATTAAAAATTAAAAATGCATCTTTTAAAGCACAGCTAAGATAATGAGTAGGCTAACTACAAAATGGGTAAAAATATTTGCAAAACATGTATGCTTAAGGAATGTATCTGGTAGATATCAGCAGTTTCTATAACTAAATAAAAGACAAACAGCCCAACACAAGGAAGTTGTAGAGAAATAAAGTCTAATTTATGATTAGAGTAAAAAAACAATGTTATCTGCAAAAAAGAAAAGTAATTCAAACAATTCCTACATTTTACCCAAATTTAAACATAATGGGGACCAGGGAGATGGCTCAGTAGAAAAAGCACTTCCCTGGTAAGCACAAGGGCCTGAGTTCAATCCCTGGTTCCATAAAAATAAAATAAAATAAAAAAATAAACATAATGAAGAATCATTTAATTTTTTAAAAGATAAGATTAAGTGACTTAGAAACTTTAAAAAGATAAACTGATATATAAATTAAATTATTGTATTAACCTCATCTTAATTAACTCTTAACAAAGTACAATTCACCTCCACCAAAAGCAATCACACAAAAAACTGAGTTGAATATAATAATTTATTTCGTAATCTCTTTTAAAAATATAAACCACTGACATATTTTGAAAAACATCCACATAATAATCATTTAGCAGTCATAATATTACAAAAATAAAGTAACACTGAATAAATTGCACAATTAAAACAAAATAGTTTCTGCTACATCACTCTGACTAGGAACACAGTCACAGAAAATGTTAGTGGACCAGCACTGCCATGTTTTGCATTAGTAAGTATCACTACAGTTAGGCACAAGACCTATTCCTGGGAGCCCATCCATTCGTTACAGGAAGATATGGAATGTCTAGATGCCATGTTAACAACTTGAGTTTAGTTCCATCACTACCATCACTCCTGCTCCTTTGGGAGACAAATTCAGCAGCAAGGTAGAATAGTGTACGCCATGGGACACAAGCACATGATTGGCCCACATCTCTCCCACTAGTTCTAAAGCACAATAAAAAGAAAGATGTGAACTGCACTGTCTAGTACAATAACCACTAGACCTATGTAGTTATTTAAAATAAGAATTAAAATTCAATAAAATCTAAAGTTTACTTCCTCAGATACACTAGCCATATTTTAAGTGTTTACTACTGGTTACCATATTGGACACTGCAGATATAGAACATTTCTAGCATCACAGAAAGTTCTTTTGGACAGCTCTGAATGTGGGAAGTGTTTCTTCTCCCCGGCTTAGCCAGGGTGTAGGCTGCTTGTGGAAGCAGCTTTGAGAGGCAATTCTTCTCCCAGGATATTCCTAGATTGGTCGAAGAAGAAAGTGAGGTTGTCTTTCTTTGCAGATGAAAGGGATGGCCATTTATAGGGATCAGATATGCCCTGTTGATTCTACCCAAATCTAAATGCCAGGAAAATTGAGATAAATCATTCATATGAGGAAACAGCAACGTAGAACATTTTTTATCCTCTACTCAACCTCCATAAAGAAACCGTGTCCACCAAGAGAATATAAAGGGCTTCAGCATCCTGCTGTAGAGAATCCTGAGGGCAAGTATCTGGCAGAGGTCAGTGTTTCATGAGAAAACTTGGCATGTCTTCACTCTGCTCACTCAGAGCTGAGCAGTGTTGCTTGAAGTTTTGCCAGTGAGGAAGCTACCATTTTTATCTGTTTCAAATATTACACTCCTGTTCAACTGTATTTTATAACCAGGGCATAGACCACTAGTTGTCAACTGAAGATCCACCATTATCCTTCTTATCAATAAAACTTAGATTTTGGTTGGAAGCTACAAAAGCTACATTTCTCAAGCAATCCTGCAGAAAGTAGCAGCCAATGGCAAAACTTCAGCCAATAAAATGTAAGCCAAACTTGTGCTGCTGAGAAACTTCAAAAGGAAGCACATTCAAGCCCGAAGTCTCTGCTTTCCCTTTGAGTGTCTTCGTTCTGGTTGTGAGGAGTTGCAAAACCATCTTGGAACCTAGAGAGGGGAGACAAGGGTTAGAGCCTGACATCTCTGGACTGCTGAACAAATTCTAGCAGTTATCCACCTCCAGTTTATATCAAATGTGAGTTACCTGAGAAAAAGAGAAACCTCCAATTGGGTAAAACAAATGTTTAATAACTTCTTACTCTGTTACTAAGATAATGATCCATCTTGGGTCCCAATGAAAAAGTGAGATTTTCAACTAAAAGTTAAAAGAAAAATCTTGCCCAAATAATATTTCCCAATTCAAAAATTTCAAGTAACTTCATATGATTGTACTAATAAAACGAAGGGAGAATGTGAAGATCTTTAAATTGATACTGGACTATATTGGAATATTTTGCTGAATTCACACACCTACAATATTTAAATGACAATGATGAATACCCTTCTCTGACAAAACTAAAGAAAAAAGGGGGATACAAATGAACGATCATTTGTATCTGTACATCAAAATAGTTAGGCTAGATATACAGCTGCATTCTCTTAATTCAATGACTACAGAGATTTGTTCTAATAGTGTTTGTGAACAGGATATCATGTCTGCATCTTGTATAATGAATAACCACTAAGACAACAATATGCAATGTATTAATTATTGAAACTGTGCTAGTAATCTGTTTTGAAACTGTCTCATTGCTATTTGTTTCTTAATAAAATTATTTTTAAAAATAAATAAATTGAGTCCATGCATGTCTTAAAGATCTGTCTGTAAAGACCAAGAACAGCAAAAGCAATCAGGTTCATAAATAAAGTAGCTGCTATTCAAGAAAATAAGAGGATTTTTTTTAAGCTTAAACCATCAGGAAGCATTTCTGAGCTCCTATTATGTTCTGATTATTTTCCAAACACAGGTGTTTGCCTGCTTCTGAATATCCAAGTTCCTGTATTCCTGTATGGTAAGATTCTCACTACTCAGAATCAGACCAGCATTGATCTATTACTTTATTTATTTTTTATAGACAAAATAAAAACAGGAGAGTTGAAGAATTTCACCGATTCAAATCAAAACAGACTCTGTATCAAAGATTTATAATCCAACTCTTAACTTGCCCTTGTGTGTGATGCAAATACCTGACAATGGCATCTAATGATCTTAATTGTGGGATTAGCTTAAATAAGCATAAGTACCTCAGACAAGCTAAAAAAAAAAAAATGAAAAACAAAATGCAGAACTCCGCAGATACTTTCTACGTACTATTTGGTCTCTTTAGTATCCTAAAAGTCCCTAGATTAGTAAGTATGACATAGAAAAAATAAATATTTCCAAGTATCCTAAATGCTTTCACCATTTACAATGCTTAAAATTTTAATCCTTTAAAATTGAACTCTACTGCACTTATTTTGAAACCAGAGACAAAACTGAGAATATGGAATGTCACATTAAAAATAGGGTATTGCGTATTTTTTACCTACCTCATTCCAAATTTCCACCCCTGCAAGTATACCAAAAACAAATCCTGGCACCTTGTCATTCCCAGAAAAGCCAGTGAGTGCACGGCACGCTTTGGGTAAATTTTATCTCTCATTCTGTGGAGTCACACCAGATGGCATCAGCCCTGCATCTACAGCTGTGCCCTAAAATTGAAGTTCAGGCATATGAATCTACTTTATCAAACACTTCGGATTTTGCAGGTGTGTGTATGATGTCATTCCCATTCAACTTAAAATGGCATCTTTCTACGTTTTGCAGTTACAAGTTTGGAAATTAATGAAACAATCAAGATTGCCCCAAGAAGAACTGAAGTCATTTTGAACAGCTGAAATTTAGCAACAACAATGAAACAAGAAAATTAAAATAGGATATTAATACTGAGTTCCAGAATCATGGCTCATTTCCATTTAGTGTAAAAAATTCAGCTCACAGTCTAACTCTAAAAATCTATTGTAAATACAACAGGAACATTTTATAATAAAGTCACACTTCTGAAATGAGCCATTATCTTAAATATTCCTGCTTTTCAAATCCTTCAGTGTCTAATTCACATACTTGACACAGTGATTGTCAGATGTTTACCAGCCAAATGTCAGCAGTGGCTGTCATACCCAATACACAGAAGTTTGAAACCTAGACTATTGTGGATGTCAGAGCACTAGATCTAGGCCACGCATTTATATAGGTAGCCAAAAATGTGAGTTCAAAAATAGTTCTACTTCAGGAGATAGGTCTTGGAAAAATAAAGTTTGAATAAACAGATAGGAAAAGATAATCCATATGCAGGTATCCAACATTTCAAAAAGCAGTCTCTAGCAAAGCAAGGTAAGGCGGGACACCAACAGCAACAAGGGCAAACATAAAGAACTTCACTTCCCAATAGTTAGGGCTGAACTCCAAGGAACCTGGGATAATAGGAATAAATGTCCACTTCTGCTGAATAAACAAGAACTTAGTTATTAATGAATTAGTTTATAAAGAGGTTAGAAAATGGCACGAGGGGCTGGGGAGATAGCTGAGTAGAATAAGTGCTTGCCTGGCAAGCACAAGGGCCTGAGTTCAATCCTCGGTTCCACAAAAAAAAAAAAAAAAAATTAAAAAAAAGAAAAAGAAAATGGTACGAGACACAAGGTAAGATCTTTCTTAGGAACCTGAGTCAGCAGAGCCTGCAAAGAGGGTGGCTTATGATGAGAGAAAAAAAAAAAATCTACTCACCCAGAGTTCTCTACAGTCTCCTGCTAGGAAAATTCAGGACAGGTCAAGCTGCTGGATGTATGTGGGGCTGCTAGGAAGATTAAAGGATTACAAAATCAAGAAGCCAAGCAGGTAGTCAAAATTATTTGCATTCTGACTATTTATGAAGTATGAAATGATTGTTTTCTATCCTTATAAACAACTATAATTGCTAATTACTCCCACATTCATCTTCAATGTTCATATTAACTGCACAACCCAATAACTAAATGCCACTGCAGAGATATCAACCAATTAGAGAACTATTGTTCAAAGCACAGTACAGATTCACTGAAGAATTCCAACTAGAAATTCAAATTAAGTCAGACAGATGATACAGAGGTAAGAATCCACTCATGATGTTAAATTAAAAGAAACCATTTACTTCATTTACAAACATGTTTGTTTTGAAAAAGTGAAATAAGAAATGTGAGAAATCATCTAAATATTGCAGGCCCAAACCTTTCTCCATAATTACTCACCACAGTGGGATTACTATTACAAAATAATTTCTTCCACTTCACTAGTTTTATCAACTTAGGCAAAATTTAGTATTACATGGATTTTAGGGTTTTAGCCACTGTACATGGTCTTCATTTAATTCTAACATTAATATTCTTAATAAATAATCTTGATATAGCTTGTTTCACCCTTTCATTACTAACCCCAGATTTGCCTTTACTGAAGACAAATTACATCTGTATCACCTGTTTCACTCCACCAACCCCTGCACTGTTTCCCAAAAGAGCAGGATGATTATGAAAATTACAAACACTCTTACATCTCTGATTTCCATAATCCTCTGCCTAGACACTGATTCTTTCACTGAATGAGAAATCAGTTTGGCTTCTTGGTTCCAGTGAAAGCTTGACAATTGTGAGGGGGAAGAGAGCCTTTCAGTTAATAGTACCCATTTCCCCCATTCTGACCCTTCTCTTCCTGGGGCCTTGCATCTTTGGAAATTTAACCATCAGGGTTAAGAACAGTTTTAGAACCGGGACAACATGTAAACATGAGCAGTCTCAACTTACGGGAGCAGACCTTCCATCTCCCATCCTCCCAGCCTTCTAGCGGGGCACCAGGCAGCAAATGGAACTGTAGTCCATCGGGCACCTACTAAGAGCAGCAGCTCCTCTCCAGGCGATGAAAATCTAGGAAAAAGCATCTGAAGGATGATGTTATTTCCCATCACTTCCCCTCTTCAATCTTTCGGTAAACAGTCTAACCACTGAACCTCACCACAGGACAGCTGGCTGGTCCTCTTTTCTACTGCCCTACATCATGTCCAGGACCCTGCAAGCCATCACCAAATAGGTCACAGTCCAGCCAACCAAAGGCACCTGCTGACTAACTATTGTTGGCACTTCCCTGTCTGGGAGTCTAAATCTGAGTAGAGATCAGGGTAGGAAGTTCCCTCTCCCTGGCACCACCAGTTCAAGTCCATTTGCCACCTCCCGAAGCGCAGATATTGAGGCAGTATTTGGAACATTTCCTCATATGTGCTCTGTTTCCTCCAACCGCCCGTCCCGAACCTCAATCATTTGACTACGTAGGCTGATTTTGTTTGGAAATGGCTCGATTAATTTAGCTAAATGATACAATTTATCACCCCATAGCCACAAAAACAATTGATCTGGAAAGAAAAGAGTGCAGGTGCCCAAAGCCCTTCCAGCCTCAAAGGTTAAGCTCTTCCTCCAACTCTCCTCGGCCCGGACCACGCTCCCTAGAGAAACGCACAGCTCCGGGCCAGACCCAGTACACTCGCAGTCTGTTGCACACGAGGGCGCTGCAAGTCCGGAGCCTCCGAAGGACTAACGCATCCAACCCTCCGCTGCTCCTCTGGAGCGGGAACTGACCTCCAGCACCACCGAACCCCGCACCTGGAAGCCAGGAGGAGTCGAGTTCACACTGCCTGCTCGTGGTTGAAGCCCCAGGGCTCGCGGTGCAGGGAGAGGCGTCCAGGCTGGAGCGTCCCGGCCGTGCTGGCCACGGAGTTCTTTAGCTGCTTGATGACCACGAAGAGCAGGAGGAAAAGTAGGAAGAGCAAAAAGAAGAACAGGGCCAGGTAGAGCAGCAAGTTGAGCTCCCACTCCATGCTGGAGGCGCGGGTCCAGCGGTGGCTGCACTTCCCGCTCCCTCCCGCGCGCGGGCTCCGTGCTCCGCCTTCCAGAGCCCGGGAGGCAGCCGGCAGCCGGAATCCTGGCTCCGACTCGTGGGGAAGGGCAGAGCCCGAGCTCCACTGAGATCCTCCTCCTCGCTCTGAGGGCGCAGCGGGTTTCTCTAGGAGCTAGGAGCGAACTTCAGCTGGCAGGGACAAGGGAGACCCTAGGAAGTCACTGCCAGCGTGTGAGAGGGCTTCCAGTCCCCTCGCGGCTAATCAATTCGCTTCCTTATTAGCCCTGTCCCAGCTTTCCTGAAACGTATATGTCATGATACAGAGATGGAAAGGATTGAGGGCGCCTTTGAGATGCAGTCTGCGGGGCCCTGCGAGGACCTCACGCTCTGAGTACCAGGGTCCCTGAAGGACTCATTCAAGCCTTCTCACTCCAAGGGCTCCAGGTACACTCAGGTTGAGGGCACTTTTTTTTTTTTTTTTTTTTTTTTTTTTTTTTTTTTTTTTGACACCTGGTTCTTAAGAGCAAAATGTATCAAAGTCATTGTAGTGGGAAAAAAGTCATTGTACAAAGCTTTAAAATGGTGGTTTGAAATTAGTTTCTTTAATGAAAAGACAGGAAAGGGAAGGGGTGCACAAAGTGTTCCGCGAGGCTCCTGACACCTCTGCATTTAGCCCATAAGGTTATGCTTTGAGAAAAAAAAATATGTCTATTACTGCATAACAAGTTGTCCCACATTTAGCGGCTTAAAACAATGTAACGGGTTATTTCTTCAAGTGTCTAGGAGTCAAGAATTTGGGAGCACTGTGCTCAGTGATTGTGGCTTGAGGTTTCCCAAGAGTGACTGAGATGCCTGCTTCCAAAGTGGTCGCTCACACATCTGGCTTGGAGGCTGGTGGCTGGGGGTACTCTAGGCATGCAGACACAGGAACATCTGGAGGTCTTAGCACAGCCTTTGGCTTCTGGCAGGAGTGGCCAACTCAAGGCAAAAGCCACAGTGCTCCTTACCACTGGCTTCCAGGGTAACCTGCCAACATTTCTGCAGTAACATATTGCCCACATAAGTCAGACATACTCTGGTAGGAGTCCAGAGATGAGAACATTAGGATGGAGATGACTGGGGATCATCTCAGAACCTGGCTGTTGCAGCAGGTTACCATTTCCATTTCATGGACTGTCTGTTTGTTTTGTGGTGCTAGAGATTGAATCCAGGGCCTTGGCCTGGAGCTATATCCCCAAGCTTAATGTTTCATTTCTTTTGAGACAGGGTCTCAATTGGTTGCTAAGTTGCTCATTCTGGGCTCAAACTTGTGATGCTCCTGCCTGAGCCTCCCAGAGTACTGGCATTAATCGCATGCACCACAACAGACTTTCATGACATTCTTTATTTGTGAAGATACATGAGAGCCCCTGGCATGAGTTCAGGTGGTGAGGCCTGTCTAATACACCCTAGGTTACATAAGGTGGAGTCTATAATAAGTGTCTGTTCCAGTTGTGGCAGGTTATTCAAAGAGACTGGAAGGTATAGAAAGAGCTGTGAACTGTACGTCCCCAGGACCTAATTCTATTTTTGGCTTCATTTGTTCATGTTTACTTTTTCTCTACATGTCTCAGTCCCTTGAGCTGTACTACATCTTGCTTACCTTTCCTTTGGATTTGTTGTAAAGGTCAAAAATGAGTGGGATGTTAATTAACAAAATGTTTTACTATATAGATGTGAGGTACTACTATTATTCTATTATTATGGGGTCTCCAATGTTACAGGTACTCTTAAAAGTTGCTAGGGCTTTTCTCCAAGCAGTCCCCTTAGGTAGGGATTGAGGGTGAAACACAGTGCCTTGTATATGCTAAGTAATTGCCTTCTAACCATCTTACAGTGTGTTGAATCTCTCTCTTTCTGTCTCAGTATTATGCTATAAACTTCATAGGCAGCAGTATATTAGAGCTGACTTATAATGACACACATGAA